TGACAATTTAATAGTGCAAACTAATCATCCGGTTGACACGGGCCATTCATCTCCGTACAGGCGGACAAAGAAAAGGCCTTTTCCATAGTTTGGTCTGGATGCAGCCTCTATTTTCAGATCAAGTGCACAATAAAAGCATTGTAACCGCTTAATGGCTATGTTTGTGAAGCCACCCAAAACCCAGTGTATTAAACGCATTTTTTTCCACAAAGAAAGAGAAATAGGCAAACGTGTCTGGTACGAACCGGAGCAGAACTGAGAATAAACCATGAGACAAAGACAACAATGAGGCGAAACTTAGTTTGGATGCTTAAAGCAATCAAAACATGGAATAAAAAAGAAAATATCGGGGGTATGAAAAAGGAAAACAAACTGCACCGCAAAATTGCTTAAACGCCTCGAGTTATGAATTCATTTCTGAATCAATTTAGCCGTGCAGGCATTTTCCAAACATCCTCTTGCGGGAGTAACAAGACAGGGAAATTGATCCGGGGAGACCTCACCTCTCGCAGAGCCTCAATAAAAGAGACATCAGCCCCTCTCGACGACTGTATAATTTTTAATATATATGCAATAAATGTTCAATTTGTTTCCAGAAATGACGGGAAATAATAACGTCAAAATTTAAACCCATCCATTACGGCCAAACAATGCTCATGCATAGGTGCCCCGACGCGGAGGGCTTTGATTAATTCACATTTTGATTGTGGTTGATAAAGCAATAACGCTACGGAGCTCGACTCGGGCCATTTAGCTTCCCGGAAAACAAACGGTGGCTGGGTTTTAAATTTGAAAAATACTTCTGTCTGGGCTTATACAAAGCCAACGTGTCCATTTGAGAGGATTTGAGCATTTGTTTTTTGGCTGCTCAGCTCCATTAAAAAATATCACACTGATCAATGATGAAACTCTTCTGTAGAATTTCTAATTGATAAATTTAATCTATTGGCCCGTATGAAGCTTAATTCTAGCTCATCAATGGTTAAAATATTCCTCTTTATTTATTTCTAAGTCCTTTGTGTGTGAGAATAGGGCTGTGTAAGAAAAGAAAAAAAACTTCTATGTATGGGTCTTTAAAGCCTGATCCAAGAAAAATAGGAAGAATATTGGATTTATTTAGTCTGAAGTCTTTCTTTGGACCCTCAACAACATATGAAGAAAAAAAAACAGATATGATTTTGATCAAATTAGCGTGCAATGAGTCAAAAATGTATTTCCGTGTAGTCTACTGGCTGTTATCAGGTATATCTGAATGTGTACAACAGGGGTTTGAGCAAAGCTTTTACCACTGAATGATGCAGAAAGTCTCAGATCCAAAAGACTTCAGAAACCGTATGAATCAAATATGACACATTTGGCATTATAGGGTTAGGAAGTCATTAATGACTTATTTGCCACTAAGGGCCTATTAAGTTAAAGGTCTGGGACATATTCTTAAGAATGTCCCTTATTATTTTTTAGAATAATCCCTTCAGAAATGTGACCTCAGACAGGTGTACTGAGCACAGACGTGTCCAGGTAAAGAAGGCCGGGTTTTTTTCCGATGGAGACCTTGCTTGACACAAAGTGTATTAAGTTGGCTGATCCCTCTCAAACCAAAATGATTAATTCAGGCCCATTCAAACCCCGGCGAGCCCGGAGTGGAGGGAGGTGACCGGTGACATAATAGCCTCTGTCAAACCGCCCCGCAGAACGCCCAAACCATTTGTGTTGACAATCCCGATTCTATCAGATCCATTATGAGCCCCCATTCAAACCACAAACAAACATAGCTTTTAAATCCCTAAAAAGAAGGGGAAAGTCAGCTTTCTGGTGGATCCCTTTTGCTGGCAGTGTCACACGGCTCAGGTTTCATGGTGGGCATCAGAGATCCACTGATTTATGACAAAACAATGAGCTATTGAGCTGTTATCCCCAACAAATACAGACGTGTGCAGAGATATCTCCAGTCTGAGGATTCTGGAGCAGACTTACACTCTCTGCCTGAGAAGAAATAGCCCGTTTAACAATTCAAAGCCTGATCCAACAAAAATAGGAAGAATATTGGATTTTTTTTAGTCTGAAGTCTTTCTTTGGCCCCTCAACAACATATGAAGAAAAAAAACAGAAATTATTTTGATCAAATTAGCGTGCAATAAGTCAAAAATATATGTTGGTGTAGTCTTCTACTGGCTGTTATCAGGTATATCTGAATGTGTACAACAGGGGTTTGAGCAAAGCTTTTACCACTGAATGATGCAGAAAGTCTCAGATCCAAAAGACTTCAGAAACAGTATAAATCAAATATGACACATTTGGCATTATAGGGTTAAGGCTCAGTAAAGGTATCTATATATTTAATTTACACGAAACCAGCAAAGCGAAACCATGTCAAAAGACTTTTATCACATGCAAAGACCCTGAATGCTTTGAGATATAGAGTTTGTGAGAGTGTGTGTGTGTGTGTGTTTTTTCTTGCGATGAGTGGAGGAAACGGAGCATCCGGAAGAAAATCTACCGAAGAAAAATCTAACCTAAATCTGCAACAAATCTATATTTTATCTTCCTGAAAACGGAGATTGAAATGATCAGTGTGACAATAAGCCTCATCCGGACATGCGCGTGCAGAATATTGCTTTAAATTGCGTTTTGTATCTTCTCATTTGCCATTTAAACAAACTAATATTTCAATTTGTATTTGTTTTTGTCGTGTTTTAAACATCTGAACGTGTTTCTGTTTTCATTTTACAACTGTAAAAACAGATATCTACAAAAATAAATAATGTTAAAGCCTCAGATAAAAAATGATCCCATAATTTAAAACCTGTAATTCCTGCGTGCGCACCGTGGAGATCAAAGGGCGTCTCGCGCCTCTCTCTTTCTTTAACCAGTCTGAGGAAAATTCACCGTATCCTTTCTTTCTGCTTCCTGTCTTTCTTCAGCTCGTCTTCCTCGCTTGTCCCGATTTTCCTCTTTTTCCAGGCCCTGTTTGTTTTTTCCAGTCTGAGCCGGGCGTTTTATTCCCTTTAGAAATAGAGGGCTTTCGCTTTGGTGTGTCACTCACTCCCAGTCCTTTATTTAGTGTTTTTGTTCTTTAAAAATGTCGATGGAAAAGCTTCGATTTAAGGAGATTAAAGACTCAAACAAGTGAGAACGGAATCCTTTTTGTTCGTGTAAAAATACGCATGTTGCTTTGTTAAATAAATGGACTAAACACGTGACTGACAGACTTTATCTTTCATCTAAATTATTAGTCATCAAAGGGACAATTGAAAATACCTCAACTAAAAATAGCAACTTTTCTTTTTTAGTATATTCAAATAAACTATTTAATAGCAGAGGTTAACAAACAGGCCTCAAATTAAAAAATGTTATTTATCATGACATTTCCCCTTTTGGATAGCATTTATGCCATTTATTTAGAGGAATTATCTTAACTCTGACCGTTTTGAGCGTTATTTCGTGTTAGAGACGGTCAGTACTAATAAAACATAAAAATAAAACACAAAAAATGTTTCTCTGGTGACGTATGAAAATACTGTAATGCGAAATGTGGATGAATTCCACATGTAAAATGTAATGATGTAATGTAAAATGTAACGTGAAATGTAAATGATGTGACATTCTTATACGACACAAAACATGATCTTTGATTTGGTTTTTTGTTCGGGAGTAAAATGCTTTAAACCAGTGAAATATACAGTAACAGTCTCTGGTCCGGTCCAGAAATATAGAGCTTAAAAACGATGCTTAAATCTTTTCAACAGCGTCGCCAAAACCATCGAAATATGTTCATCATATTGGGGCATTTTTCTTTTGGAAAAAATCTCTTATTTCCCTCTGGACCTCAGGCAAATTGAAAGTCGGTCAGAAAATGTCTCATTTAAATTCTCACCTTGAAATCTCCAGTGACTGTTAATGGTCCGAGAGGAGCTGACGCTTTAAGAAAAATAATAATCACCGTCTAATCTCAGAGTGAGCCAAACGTGTCGAGAAAAGGCTGAGATGCAAACAGTTATACAGCACGATGCGAACAAAAAAGATAGTTTTAGATAGTTTTGCAGAAAGAATCAGCAGTTAAACAAAGGAAATACATGCAAAGCAGGCAGGGCTCTGCAGCCTTACTTACTCTGTGTTGAGCCGAGCTGAGTCTCCGCAGTTTATTTACAAACTCTAATTTCCAATCGCAGATAGTGTCAAAAAATCTGCGACTATTTCTCAGAGATTCCCTTTAACAAGTGGAAAGTTAGTGTCCTCCTGCACCATTTTATACATGATGAGCCGGCAGTAATGGGATTATTAAACAAAAACGTTTCAGGCGCTGGCGTTAACCTTTTTTAATGCCTAATTAGGTTTTGCAAAGAAATAATTAGATTCTACAGTGCTTACACTGCCTATATTTTCAAATGGCATCTGCAGCAAACACATCACCCCGCGACACCCATGTCAATAATCTGCGGATGTTTGCGCAACAGTGCAAGTCAGATGTAAGATTTTAAAAAATGTTGGGACCAAATAAGGTAGACTTAAAGCTAAAATAATTATCCTGGCCAGGCTATAGGCCAACCTGCAGTAATGGGATGGTCTAGTCGAGTGCGCCCTCTTGTGGTAATAAAGCTTTAATTCACAATGCAGCAGTAAAGTACTGATAGAAAAAAAAAAAAGGCTGCGGGTATTGAACCAACTAATAGTTGTACCTGATAAAACGTCTATGACAAAGAACAGTGAATATTTTTTAAAAACGAGCAACGTTTTTAGAAAAACATGAAGAAAGAAACGTTTGTGTTTGTTTTTCCATCTTACAACCTGTCCTGCATTCTGAAGAAATTATTGTAGATTCATATGTATGGAAATATATTTCTATATATATCAATAAAATATATTATTAGAATATAATATATAATATATATTATTAGAAAATAAAATATAGACGAACACGTGTTTTACGTCATCCTTGGCTGTCTCTTTAAGATATCGCGAGAGGTAACACGGGAACTGGTTTTAGAAGGTCAGCTGATCATTTACTACAGTTACAGTATAAGAGTGACTAGCATCTACCTCTCTCGTTCAAGCTAACACGCTACGGAATTGCTCGACGTTGTAGCACCGGTAAGATACACGTTTGGCCGCTTCTCCACATAGTATCAACAACTCGTATCGTTTTCGTGAAGTCGTTTCAACACAGACCGGATGGCCAAAGTTAGCCGGTGTATTAGCACTGCAGTGGATAGAAAAAGCCTATTTAGCTAACGTTAGCAAGGAGGTAGCAGAAAGCTAGTAACGATGGCAACAGAATATTCTAGACTCACCTGCTGCTAATGCGAGATGAATTTGTTTTAAGATCGATTAAATAGTGGTGTTGTCTATCCTTTACAATTGGCTTCAATTCTGTCTTGACATTATAATATACCCAGTTCTAGTTAGTTAGTCATTCATAGTAATTTAGGCCATATTAGTTATTCACCTAGCTAACTTGCTTGGTCCACAGAATATTCGACATAAGGACGTGAATCAGTTGCTATTTCTTATTTTGTACTCCCTCTATGGAGACGAAAATCATGTTGGGGTCAATATTTTATATGAAATGTCATATTTAAGTAAACCATAATGAATGAATGGGGCTAAAGCTTAAAACTATCTTTGGTGGTGTTTATTAACATATTTGATCCCTAAAGAAAGAATTGAAACCATTAAGCTACTTTACATGTAAATGGTATCATCTAATTAGATTTTCGACCATATGTGAAGCCTTGAGTTTATTTTTTTTCAAGAAATCTTCTGACAAATGCCTGTAAATTGCTGAATCATTATGACAAGAGACACTTGAATATCTGTGTAATTAGAATCTCTTTGTAAAAACAAATTAAACACATAATTGTGCTTAACAAGAGTTAATATTTTGTAATGTTTCTTATCTTCCTTTAGAGAAGCCCCATTCTGAAAGATGGCTGACACAAATCAACAACCCCCCCCTGCCCAGCTTGGGCCTGTGGTAAGTTACCCCTTATCCCCCCAGACCTCATGTCCAAATTACAAATACATTAATTTATTTTATTTTTTTAAACCTGACATCTAGGCTGAAGTGCCTCTGTATTCATACTGCCATGTTCTGTGATTTAGGCTTTCACTGATGCAGTTTTAAACCAAAACATATAGCTTATATTCTCGCCTGTCACAAGCCGCTTAAGCTTTCCCATTTCTTTCTGTTTCTGATGATCCAAAATCAATATCTCATTTCATGCCTGGCTGGTCATAGCCGGTGCTGGAATTATTTCCTGAAATTATGAAAATGAAAATCCCTATTGTGTTGCACTGACTGCAGAAGCTTCAGTAAACACTGCGTTGTGTTCCTACTGAAGCTGAGCTAAGGCAGAGCTGATTGAAACACACAATACTGCTGTCAATTACCATAGTCTGAATGTTTATTAAACACTCCCCCATTGTGCTAGCCAGTAATAGAATATATATATGTATACATATTTTAACAGTACATTTAAAAAAGGGGTTTCCACTCTTGTTCTTCCACGACTGTGTGGCGTTCATACCTCTTACAGTGGTGAGGTTTGATTAAAAATATCTCCCACAAACACAACACATGTAGACTAAGTTGAAAGGCTGCTGTAAATGGTTTCTTTATGAATGGATACAGACACCAGTTTTACAGTCCATGTGAGACGATGGAGTCGCTACAGAGTAGTAATGGAACAGAAAGTATGTCTTATCCTCTTAACAAATGTATAGTAGAGTCACCTTTTATTGAAAGATGGTCTATTTTTGTGATTACAATAGTCCCTCATGCTGTGTTAAACGTGTTAACAGAATTAGGCTTCTGTATTTTTAGGTGAATGTGTTCTTTGTCAGAGTAAATCCCTGGGGAAAAAAAAAAATCTTTCAGATTTTCCTATCTTTTGTTTGGATTTACTTAACTCAGCTAAATATATTGATCTAAGAAATTAAATGTTCTATAGATTGGAAAAATAATGAGACATTTCTATTCCATTCTATGTCCCAGTGCCTTTTACAGCAGTTGTTTAACTTCTTTTACATTTACAAATTGGCAGATTTTAACATGCTGCGTTGGAAAGAGGGAAATCTATTAGTTTCATTGACTTGTAGCATCTAAATTGCTCTGTCATTCATGATTCTGTGAGTTTCGTTTTTCAATTCTATAACAATCTTTTCATTTTGCTTTTTTTTTTGTCCACACAGCAATTTCTAATGAGCAACAAGCTGGAAACGGCCATGTGGCTTTCTCGTCTCTTCACAGTCTACTGCTCAGTTATGTTCATCCTACCGGTCTTGGGGTGAGTTCTCTCAGCCAATATGTACAATTAAAGACAATTAACTAGTCTGAACTATCAGGTATAAGTAGAAACTATAACTCTTGTCTCTGTCTGCATGTTACAGGCCGTATGCTGCAGCTAACTTTTATCAGAGAGCCTTGTTGGCGAACGCACTCACCAGCGCTCTGCGGCTACACCAGAGGCTTCCTCGCTTCCAGCTCAGCAGAGCCTTCCTGGCCCAGGCTCTGCAGGAGGACAGCTGCCATTACCTGCTCTACTCCCTCATCCTGGTCAACTCCTACCCCATAACCAGTATCCTTTCACAGAGAACAAATGTGGCTTCAATGCACTAGACGGCTTTCATGGTTAACAGTAACGTATAAACTTAAATTAAGAATTCTCTTATTTAAATGGAATGTTTTCTTTAAAAAACAGCCCTCATTTTTTTGCTGAACACTTGGTCCTTGTTGAACAAAATCATAATTACTTAACAAAGCGGGCACGAGGTGGAGACTTTAAACTCCCTCGACCCAGAACAAACTCTCTAAAATCCACATTATAGAGCCATATTTCACTGGAACCAATAACCACACGAACAGTTCAGAACAGAACAAGCTTAAATAATATACTGTCTTCAGACCTACTGCAAATGATAACATGAACTGACCTGTGTGTATATGTTGTATAGTCTACTCTTGTTTTATGTTCTGATTTTTATTTTTATGATCTGTTTATTATGTAATATAATTTCTTCATGTGAGGACACCAGGAAGACTAGTGGCCATTTATTTGGTAGCTAATGGGGATCCTAATAAAACTAAACTAAACTAAACCCCAACCAAGCACAACACAGCAGTTCTGAAAGTCGACGATTACTTGATGATGCTGTTTTGAGACATTCTGAGTTTTAAGGACTGGAATCTTCTTTTTTTTGTCCATGGGAGCAAGATTAATGGACACATTTTTGTGGCTATTACTTGGTTGATAGTCAAAGGTTTTTGCTTTGGAGCTTGTTATAAAAAAAAAATAGAAAAAAAGTCCTAAAAAATGGCTATGGTCCTCCAAGAGCAGTAAACATTAATTGTAAACAAAAGCTTCATATTACAATTCCCATGAATGTCCTTATATTTGTGTTTATCTTTAACCCATGGTGTCCAGTGAGCATCTTCCCAGTTTTCCTGTTTTCCTTGCTTCATGCGACTACCTACACAAAGAAAGTTCTTGATGTGAGTACGAGGAGCTGATCATTTGCTGTCTATGTTTGTGTATGACCAGGTAGCAATTAGCTAAACACAGAGTAACACCCAGTATGACCATTAGCAGGAGCTAAATTGTATTTCTGGTCTCTGCTTGATTAACCAGCCACTGCTGAGAGCCGAATTCAGCCCACAAGCTGCATAAAAGCTAATCAACATTGGAATGATGTCTTGTGTTTACTCCATGGGATTTTTGTTTTTTCTCTGACTAATGGGGTGTTTTTCTTGTAGTCTATGGGCCCCAGCAGCCTGATGTTCATCAGAAACCTTCTGGACAAACTATCGGCCAACCAGCAAAACATACTGAAGTTCATTGCCTGTAATGAGATTTTCTTAATGCCTGCTACTGTCTTCATGCTCTTCAGGTATGTTCACCGCTGGTTAACTGACACTGAACATTGTTAATCTTAGATTAGATTAACTATCTGCTCCATTATCTGTCTGGTGGAAGAACTGAATGTTTCTGTTATTTCTGCCTCTTAAATTTGAACCAACAAATGCCAGATATTTAGTAACACAGCATTTAATTATACTCCATCCTCTTTATTTGTTGTTGCAGTTTGATTTAATATGTACAGCATTACACAGCAGAGTCAAAACGTTACAATTTCTGTCCTGTTTTCAGTGGTCAGGGAAGCCTGTTGCTGCCCTTTATTTATTACCGATTCCTCACCCTCCGCTACACATCCAGAAGAAATCCATACTGCCGGTAAGGCGTCGTGGGAATAATTTCCAGAGATCCATAAGGCCAAATGTTCAGGCTGAAGGTCCTGCAGAAAGAGCCCTAATGAGCCTGATTTGTAATGGCTACTTAAGGTTTTAATTAGTCTTAAATATGATATGCTAAATATAATAAGTCATGCAGAGACGTTTGCAGCTCCCTTTTGTTTGGCCCCAGGAGTGTGCTGGTTATTTTTCTATTAAAGCTGCTACTAGTGTGCCTGTTACTCTTCTGGTTTCAGTGTTTAATGAGGAATGCACCTGATTCCTGTAGTCTGAACTGATGCAAAGCCAAAAGAACCATTTCATTACTAGTTTATAAATCAACCTTGGGTCTCCCCTTGAAATGTTGTTTTTAGTACATTAGAATTTTCCGTTGTTGTAAAATAGCAAACTTAAGATTTGCTCGACAACTTAAATCCTCTTTTACCCCCCCCCCCACCGCAGCACCCTGTTCACAGAGCTGCGGATTCTTCTGGAGCACTTCATCATGAAGCCCGCCTGCCCCGCCTTCTTCAGGAGGATGTGCCTCAGCAGCATCGCCTTCATCAGCCGCCTGGCTCCCACCGGAGTCTGATCTCTCTTAGTTTTCCTCTCTCTCGTTTTCTTCCTGTTTTTATTTTCCAGCTATGTAAGATATGACTTAAACTGTGATGGGGACAGACTTTGCCATCAGTGGAAGAACTTTGTGTTGAATGTCAACGTTACAGTCTGAGCTCCGACTCTTCTGTATTCCTGAGTACAGCTGAAGAAGAGCCGGTAAAGCACTGAATCTCACTGAATATCCCGGTGACGCTTCTCCTCCTGACCTGCTAGTGTGGCCTCACTCAGACGGCGGATGCTCTGACTTTTTTACGTTCACCGAAGAGCACGGCTGACGTCTGCGGCAGTCTGTGTTTCGGCAGTTTTTGTTCTTCCTTTCATGTCATTATTTATTCATTTAATAGTTTATTTTATGAAAAAAATTAACATTCTGAGATTAATAACTTAACTAAAATGTGCTTCTACATAATTGTCTTCATGTCCTTTCTCTTTAAAATTTCACTTAATCATTTCTGTTCCCCACAGCATCTGTTATAATTTGTCTAAATGCCTGACTTTGAATGTTTTTTTGTTTGTTTAGTTTTATTTTTTTGTATCGATGCCATCACCGGATTCTTTCTAAAAGTACAGACTTATGTACCTGTGATTCAAATAGGTGTTAAACTGCGAAAATATTTGCTGTATTTTTAAAAACATTTTAAGGTACCAGACATTCTGCTGTATGATCCAGATTTGAAATGATTTGCACAGTGCATGTCATCCTTCTGAATGCATCTTGAAATTGTTTTTCAGTTAAAGAGCAGTTTTAAATTTATGTTCATTTATTTTGCTCCATATTGCCTGTTTAATGCTCACTCTTTTTTTTTGTTTTTTATCATGTTTAATGTGCTTATATGCCTACAAACGTACCACATTTTTATGGCAAGAATAAAAATATTAAGTAAACCAGTTAAAAAGATAAATGGTTCTTTTTTCTTTTTTAAAAGTCAAACTCATTGACGGCTATCACAGAAACCAAATGATTAAAAAAAATCAGCCAATCAGCTTTCAGTTGAATCGTTCCTTGCCAATCATCCAATAGAATCACAGCTTGTAGAGCGCGTACCCATGGCAACCGTCAACTGACTCCCAGATTGTGGCAAAGATGGCTATAGCTTCATATTCGCGTCGGATAACGTAACAAATATGACAGAAAACAATGACAGATTCTCCCCGGTGTTTGATATCGATCCGTAGATATTTGAAAGAAGACTTCCGGTCATAGACGGAGACAGCTGGCCGCTAACTTAATACTTAATCGTGTTAGCCACCAAGCTGGCAATTTACCGCTAGCACGGTTAGCTAATCTCCTTTCTTAAAGTAATCCCTGCCTCGTCCAACATCGTCCTCTTCTTGTAATTCATCCGAAATTCAGATTTTCAGCCGTGGACCGTCACTCGCCGTTTGACTTAATTCCCTATGAGGGAGATTAGCATCCTGCTTTCCCAGAATATAAAATCAGCAGAAAAAGAAGATGGAGATCCACCTCAACAGAGTTGATTATATGCAGGTAAAAAAAAAAAAGAAGACAACTGTCAACTGTTAGACCGTTAATATAAGATTTGGACAGCACTTTTAGATGTTTTACACTCTTATGTTGGGTTTAGCTCACTAGTACTTACCATTAAATCTAACCTGATTCAGGTTTTAGGTGAATTTAAATCTTGTTTATCTCTGCTCTGTGTTCTCAGGTTGGAGTCACATCCCAGAAAACTATGAGGCTACTTCCAGCTTTGGGAAAAAAGGCCACACAAAAGGTAATGCCTGTGCTCACAGGTGTGTTGATTAAGTTGTTGATTGATCCCTTAGTTTGACATATTGAATTTTTGCATTTTCCCGAGACATTAATTATTGGAATAGTTCTTTTTTAAAGAAATATTGATAAACACAAGAGCCAAAGAAGGTATTTATCTGTAAAAGCTATTCAACCTCTCAAAAATAAAGTCTCCAGACCCTCCCTGCAGCGATTCCCTGGTTTGATATTTTACATTAGGCAAAGTATGTGTAGCAGTCAGGGGTCTTTACACAAACATTATCCATATTATTTATAACCCTGGCTAGAAAGCAATCGTAAGGTCAAAGGTCATGCTGGGTTGTGTTTTTTTCTGTGTTTCAGGTCGCCATTGCAGATCACGATGGTATCCTGACGTGTTTTGGGATGAAGAAGGGCGAGGCGGTGGTGAGTGGAGGTTTTCTGTTTGTTTTCCAGATGTTACATATTGTTTCATCATTAAATTAATTAAACTCTCTATTTTAGCCCGTGTTTAAAACACTCCCCGGGCAGAAGATAGTGAGGATGGACCTGGGAGGAGCCGCCGGAACGTCCCAGGAGAAGATCTTTGTCTGTTCTGGTTCTCAGGTGCGAGGATTCACCAAGAAAGGCAAACAGTTCCTCACCTTTGAAGCCAACCTCACCGAGAGCATCAACGCCATGTAGGAGCCTCCTTCTGAGTTTTTGTCCATAAGAGAAAAGCTGTTAACCTCCACCTGCTGAGAACTTTCTGCCTCTCTCCTTTTCAGGCATGTTTCCGGATCGGATCTTTTCGTGTGTGCGAGTTACATCTACAACCACTACTGCGACTGCAAGGACCAGGACTACTTCCTCTCAGGGGACAAAATCAACGACATCACCTGTTTGTCCTCAGAGAAACTCTCGAGACCCGTCCCGGTTTTGGCCTGCCAGGATCGGGTTCTCAGGGTCCTGCAGGTGAAACAGGCTCATGTTTAGTCTCCCGTTTAGTCTCACACAGGGATTTACGCTCTACCGTTTATTCCTCTTTGGATGCAGGGATCTAAACTTGCCTATGACATTGAAGTCCCTGGCCCTCCATCTGTCTTGGAGTTGTACAACAAAGAAGGAGGTGAGTGCATTTTTGTTTTTGTATTTGTTTGTTTTTGTACTAAAACTTGAAGTATAATGATGTCAATGATTTTTTCAGCTGATGAAGTTATTTATGGAACCACGGATGGAAAAATTGGACTGATTCAGATTGATGAGAGCTCCGCTGCCACTAAATGGGAGATCGATAATGACAAAAGAAAAGGAGGTATGGTTCATTCATTGTTCACCATCATTTATCCATTCAGTGGGTTTGGTTTTTTCTTCTCCTCGTCCAAAAAGGAGATGCTGAGTCATGCCGTCTCTAAGAACCCGAGCTGATTCTTGGAAATGACGACGTCAGTGCCAGATTTAATTTCTCATAATCGGTAGTCAGTCGCAGGACCTAAACTGTGGAACTCTCTGCCCACTGAGTTACGTTCATTTACTGACCTGCCTCTGTTCAAAGCTCACCTTAAAAAGCATTTGTTCAGGATGGGTTTTTGCTCGTAAATTCTCTGTATACTGGGTTCTGTCAATGTATTTGTCTTTGTATGTTTCGATAGTTTGATCTGTTTTTATTCTGTAAAGCACTTTGGTCAGCTCCGGCTGTTGTAAAGTGCTGTCTAAATAAACATTGATTGATTGATTGATAATTGTGTTCGATGTTTCTTCAGGAATCCTTTGCATTGACACTTTTGACATAATTGGAGACGGAGTGCAGGACGTCCTGGTGGGCCGGGACGATGGAACCGTTGAGGTTTATTCTGTAGACGGCTCCGGTGAGCCTAGCTTACGCTTTGAACACGTGAGTTTTTGCTGAACAAATATTCTAATCGGTATGTAGAGTAGCTCCATTTACTGACATCCTAAAGTCACCAAACACGGCCATTAACCCTATAATGCCAAATGTGTCATATCTGATCCGGTTTCTGAAGTCTTTTGGATCAGAGACTTTCTGCATCATTCAGTGGTAAAAGCTTTGCTCAAACCCCTGTTGTACACATTCAGATATACCTGATAACAGCCAGTAGAAGACATACACCAACATATATTTGTGACTTATTGCATGCTAATTTGATCAAAATAATTTATGTTTTTTATCTTCATATGTTGTTGAGGGGCCAAAGAAAGACTCCAGACTAAAAAAATCCAATATTCTTCCTATTTTTCTTGGATCAGGCTTTAAAGCAGGGGTGTCAAACTCTGGCCCGAGGGCCAGATTTGGCCCGCGTTGTAATTATATTTGGCCCGCGAGACAATACCAAATGATTTCATTTAATTTTTCATTTAATTTATTTTGAAACATGATATGATTTAACAATGTTTACATAGAATGCTTCATAAACATGCATCATGTTTCAAAAAGGAGTAGGATGAAGCATAAGCTTTATACTGTACAGTGCATTAACCGCTCATACTACAACTCCCATAATGCTCTGCTGTTGTTCAGGACAGGACCCAGAAACTCCTCTGGGACAGTAGATACACACTACAGCTGTCACTGTGCTGCTTCCCAAAAATGACCAAAAGAAAGGCAGGAAAAGGAGCTTTCTGCACAAGCAAATTTAATTTTGATATTTAATTCAGAAGAATGCGAATAGAAAAATGTTTTAAAATTTTCTTTCATAAATGAATGCCATTGATGTGTTTTTTATTTGAAATTGGATTTTGCATGTCTCCACTATTAAGTTATATAGAATGTAATGAGAGTTGCTTGTTCCATATTCAATGTTAAAGCAAAATTTGTTTTATTCCACATTAAAAGGTTCATTTGTTGAATCTTGGCCCGCGGCTTTGTTCAGGTTTGAGATTTTGGCCCT